TGACTTTTTTTTGTCTTTTTTTTTGACTTTTTTTTTGACTTTTCAATTTGACTTTTTTTGACTTTGACTTTTCCAGTTGACTTTTTTTTGACTTTTTTTTTGACTTTTTTTTAAATCAAGGATTCTGGCCTTACCATATGAAAGTTTTTTATAAGAATATATTAGATGTAAACTCAGTCGTCCTTGGACACCCACAACCGCAGCCTGGGGTGGATCCATGACTTCCTGGTATTGTGACCAACAGATACTGATGAGATCAACTGGAACGACGGCTCCCCCCAGCCAAGTGGTACGGCTACCCCTCGTGTGGTGCCAAACCTGCACCTTGACCCATCTGATGGGTGCGTCTTTGCAGCCCGCTCCACTGGTGGAGCCAAGAGCTCTGAGGGCGGTGGATTGATGAGTGAACATACACAGCGACACGCGCTCCCATGCACCCATTCTCGAGTACGACAGCTTTAGACCGTTTAAGCATTGTGCCAGCAGATAGGGCGCAAGAGTTTCATACAGCCGACTACAGCCGACTCACCCTGTTTTACAGGATTTTCACACCCAGGAAGAGACCCAGGAAGAGACACCTGAAAAGATGCACCAGACTGGAAGACGATTTTCCTCTACAACTCAATGGTTTTCAGGTTCCCCATGTGGTCCGTTCTTCTGGGCCGACTCGCTCTCCTGACCCTGTTGGAAGCCCAGCCGAACCGAAGCAAAAAGAACCAACGGACACCACAGCCGAACGAACTCCAAGCCCAAGCAGTTTGCAGTAGTGACCCTTCCCAGCCACCGAAGTGCTCTTCAGAGGTGCCTCAGGGGACGACACTGCTGAGAAGAAAGCATGTCCTAAAGCTGCATATGGAGCAACCTAGCAGAACATGGGAAAACAAACAACAGTATTCAGTCCAAAAAGGAGAACAACATCCAACAGAGCATGGCCAATTGCCGCCCTGTTCAGGGCAAAACGTGTTGCGTAACTGGGCAATCCCCCAAAACACTGTAAACATGGTTTTGTCCCTTTGGCGATGCCCCTTGGGATGCCCCTTGGGGGGTATAAGTACATAATTATGTGTTTCTGCTGATCTGCAGTCAGTGACGTACAATGAAATCAACATCAACCAATCCTCCTGCACGCCCCCAGGTGGTGGGCGTCGCTCTGTATTTGACCTCCTGCATCACCATCAGCCCAGACTATTTGCCTCTTGTGGCATAACGTTGGTCCTCAGTCAAGAACCATCGAAAACTTGTGCTGGTACCAGTGGGTGGGCTAGTCTTGGGATGTTAGGTGTGGTGGGCGAAAGCTCCACACTGCCTTGGAGGTTGTACCTGGCAACCTCCCTCGGGATGTTGCCATGACAGGGACGGACCAGGAGTAAAACGCTGGGGCACTGCAAATCCTTTGCCACTTACACTCCATGTTTTTCGGAGCTCCAAGTCGACACAACAGGTAGACCACACATCTATTGGGATTTTCGACAGCTGTGAAGCTCTAGATAGCGCAGAAAGAGGCAAAACAATTTCTGTTCATTCACCAGCTGTTGAGATGATTCCGGCAAAATCTGGTGAATGAACCCAAGGAATGAACCCAAGAGATGCGATGATTCCCATTCAACCATGGGAAGTTCACTCCTTCAGGTCCTCCACCGACATGTGCCCGGTGATGAGCACCGCGCGGGTGTTGGCGACGCGGGTCGATTCGAAACTCTTCTACTATTACAAGGCAGGGCTGGTTGAAGGAGACAGCTGAAGAATGTTCACGAGACTGGTCACGGAACATCAGGGGACTGGTCTCGGAACATCAGGGAAGACCCAGGGTCCCTTATCAGTTCTTGACCAAACATGTCTCTGACCAGCCTGGAACACCTGGACCTCCCAAGGCTTTGTTTCCACTGGCGACCTTCCACTGGACCACACGGGCCTTGTTTCTCAGGGCCTTCCGTCTCGACGGAACCTGCCACATGGTGGAAACCACTCAGTCCAGGAGGGACCTCCATTCCACAGGTCCGCGTCCAGATGGGTGACCCCCCTGTGTTCCGCGATGCTTTTGGTGTTTTTGATTCTCATGTTTCTAGAAGTAGGGGGAATGTGAGTTAAAATCACTGAAGAGTATGTACTCATTCCAGTCGCTCTCCCTCCAGTTGTGGCCAGGCAGACCTTGCCAAGTATTGCAACATGGAGGACGGATTTTGGACACGTTTGAACAGGCAGAATGGAGATAGGCTCTCACTTTCAGTGGGTGTCCCTGAGCCTAATTGATGCTAAAGAGATTCATTGCGCTGAGCATCTCTATGTAGCTATGGCACAAAACTGGGGTACCCCAAAACCTCAAAGTAAATAGACCGCCCGGGGACCCGAGCAAAGCATTATTATATTAACATATGACTCATATGACAATATCACTATACAAGTCCTAAGGGCCAAGTTCAACCTGGACCTTTACCAACCTTTTTGAGATACTGGTTTTTGCATTTTCCTGGACCCAGTCGGTCCTTGGTCCGTAAGACCCGAGTGTCGGGTATGACGACTTTGACCAGTCAACTGGTGGGACCGATTTCGTCGTCATCGCCAGCCACCCCAAAAAGGGGTGGTGTGAAACGTCCCATCCAGTGAGTGGATAGTGGGCACCCCTAACCTCCATGGACAGCACCCCTTTGTGACTGGTGGCGGTATTTTGTTGAAGCTTTTGGCATCACAAACTGGACAGTCAGAGCACCTGCAGGACTCCTTCTACAAGTTTTTCTTGGATGGTTGGGTGCGTGGTGTGGTCACCGCATCTGACGTGCCTGAGCAAAAGCGGCGTGGAGCGGGGCGCGGTTTTGAGTGGTCGACACCAATCGGTTTTCGGTGTAGCATCAGCCACAATCGACCTGGTGGCGATATAGATCTTTTAGTAGATGGCCTAGTGGTTTACAGAAGATTTATGAATATCTTGGGTGCGACTCACAGGTCCAAGTGCTCCAAATGATCTGTTTCTTGGACATGGTTGGAAAAGGAAGGCTGTGGTTGATGCTTTCGCACATGCATCCACCATCATCCATCCACCCATTTGCAACCTGCCGAATCCGCACTTCTTCGCATCGGAAGTCCACTTAGCTTTCACACGTTTTGCCATCACCAAGGACACGCTGCTGGTGTTGACTTCCGCGGGGCCCGCGTACATCATGACCACGGTGCTGTCCATCTTTTTGGTGCCCGTGGTGGCCGCCTGCTATGGCGCCTTGATGGGCGTGGCCCATGCCATCGACAGCCGCCCGACCGAGGTGTATTGGGTCCGTTGGCCAGCTCTGTTTCAACCAAGCATGGAATGAAATGATCATCCATCGTCCATCATCTAGTTTTCTCATTATTCCAAGAACCATGTGTATATGCGTGGCCCAGCTTTTTGGCGTCCTATCCAAGTCCACCATTCAGTCCAACTGAGTGTCCTGTTTGAATAGAACGATCTAATACTAGAGTACCGATCGTGCATGCATGATGAAGAGACATAGATCCTGGATCCCTAGTGACCCGGATCGTGCAGCCAGAGACTCCAGGCATCTCCAGGCTCTTGAGGGATCGATCTATTCCATACATATGCCTTGTGGATCCACTGCCACCTTCTCAGAAGGTATGACTGAGGCCTAATAAAAGCCTACTAAAATACTCTCCAATCATCTTCTCAGGTATGTGGATCCATACGGATGTTTTTGAGACTTATATCATAGGGTGACTACCCTGGGGTGGGAAGTTGGTGGGGTGGACAAGGCTGAGCACTAGTAAGGCCCAGTAGGTTTTTGGGACTTGTACCACCATCCTGGCTGTACAAGACCTGGTCAGTCATGCTCGCAGGTGACAGGAGATGTGTCACTCAACCATGTTCACCCGACCAGTCCACCAAGGGCGCGGTCCGCAGTCGGTCTCCCAGTGTCAGGGGTGTGTATTCCCATCGCGAGACCCCCAGCCGTAAACCCCCGCCATGACCCCCAGCCATAGTCCAACTTCCCGGCCCGACGACGGTCAAAAGCATACCACACCTACATTCAGGACCTCACAGTGACTCGATCCGCTGCCAAGGCAGTCATGTTCTCCGCGAAAACGCGCTCCGCTCGGTGAGACCGTTCAGGTCACCTGCCTCAGTCGCAGGGCCTCGCAGATGCGGAGGAATGGCTTCAGAGGCGGAAGGGCTCCGACGGTGGGGGCGAGGCGAGGAGGTGTGCGGACCCTCCAGCTGACTCAAGCTCACTCAGTTGGGGGGCGGAGTGGACGGAGAACACCGCATGGCACCCAGCAACATCCTCGGAATGTCTACTCAGTTTGGGTGCCAAGCCAGCTATCATACGCCAAAAGCTGAACTCATTTTGGCATTGAGGTCTTTCTGACCCAATAGTCCAATCTCGAGAAGTCACCCGAATTTAGGAGTCATCGAAAGACACCTGGATCAAACATTTCATGCGAGCACCAGAAACACCAACCGGGACACAAAGTGTGTGTGTGTGTGCGGCATTTATATGTTGCCACAGCCTGGGCCCACCGAAGTGGGTAGCTGGAGGCAACTTTGGGGCGCCATTGGCGCTGGGGGCTTCCCACCCTCACGCTGGGTAGCTAGAGACAAAGCTCGCAAACCTGTACAAAACAACTTCCAGCGTGGGTGGAAGACAAAATTCCCGGACAGCAAAATGCCGTCTCAGAAGCCGCCAGCCAATCGTAGAGAACGATGTGATGACCACATGCCTCGCAATGAAGCTGATGTGCACCAAAATGCCAGGGGAGCCCTCGCTCACCAAGCATCTCATATCCGGCCGACGCACTGCAGCAGCAATAGCAAGCCAAGAGGCTGGCAGCCGGCAGCGAGCACAAGCAAGCTGGAGCCGGAGCCAGCCAGGCCGCAGCCACCAACTCACGCCAGGTCACGGACACGCTGCCACAAAATTGTTCAAAGGTTGTCCAGCCAGTTGCTTTCCCACGCGAGCAAAATCCAGAGCCCCAAAAACTCGCCTGGTCGCCATCGAAACTGACATAGGAGACCTCAGACTGCCTGCCATCCACTTGGCCCAAGACCTTCACAGGTCTCCGAGCAAACAACACCGCCTCCGCAATGTTGCATGGCCAGCGGCAGCGAGCCACCCTCAGCGCCTGCCTTCACCAAGCAGTGCCATTGGGGCTCAAGCACGGCCAGCTGCAAGAATCTCCATGCCAGTAAAATCACCACATGCCATGGGAAGCTGTAAAAACCGCCCACGGTTCGAATAATCGCAAAGAGATAGTCGGGGGGTGGCAAAGCACCCCCCGACCAGGGAGGTATTTATCATCCGGAGTCGTGCAACCGGATATCGGGTCAATTCCCGCGCAGCCATGCCAGGCCATAACTGGGACACAAATCCACCTCCCCCGCGGCCTGGGCAAAATCCTCCATCCGGAAACTCCATGGGGCTGGCAGAGTGGCTGGCAATTACATACTACATTGACCCCTGCAGCCACGTTTTCTTCCCTTGAAGTCCTCATATGTTGCACCACTGAAGTAAAGGTTCTTCCGAATCTCGTCACCGTCAGTCAGACCATGTTTAAAATCATCGACTTTGACTTCCATGGATACCCTACAAGGTCCAGGTCTGACCCAGATCCCAACCTGGTCGACCTTACTGACCCTACCTGGTCCTGAAGCGCCTGACGACCATTGGTTTTGTCATGACCATCTCCCTGACCCGTTCGGTCCGCCAGGTTTGACCTTTGCTCCATCTTCGGCGGCCAGTGCACGGCACCCCCCTTGACCGAGCCACGCTTGCGCCCGAGTCTGGAGCGCGCGAAGACGGGCCAACGTCGGTTCGGACGTCGTCGTCGGTGCGAAAGAGCTGCAAGTGACGTAAGTCGGATACCCAGAAGCTCTTGGGTGGCGGTTTCAACATGTTAGATGGTTGAACTTGGGATGATTGGGACGATTGTTCGTATGTTCAACCTTACTTGGGTTTTTTGAACTCATTGACTCATATTGTGAGTTGCAACATGCTGAAACCAGCTACTGTAAGAGGTGATAGGATTCACCTCGATCCTCACCTAGTGTTTGAAAGTGCTGTGGCAATGAGGCCGTCCTGGCCAGAAAGCATGGTATGTCTACAGGTATGTCATTTGTGGCGACGCAAAGTATATTCCCTAGGGCTCCAACCATCTCCTCATGATCAGAAGGTGGTTAGACCCCCCAAATCCACCCCAACCATCTTCTCAGGAGGTGGTTGGAGCCCTAGGGATTAATCAATAAGTATGTATATAATATCCTTGCAAGTCCAGTCTGACCCAGTAAACCCGTTCTTTTACCTCCTTGAGTGTGCTTTTGAATGACCATCTCCAGTAAAATGAGGTCGTTCACCCGTAGGCTATGTATCGTTGCTGCGCTGATAGATTCATGAAGACTCATGAAGACGGTCTGACCGGATGATTCGTCCGGATACCGGAGGGAGACCTGCCATCCCCGACATGAGCTCATGACAATGTAAGAGGTGAGGCGACACAAGGTCGAATTAGGCAGGTAGTGGCATAGAACCGAAGTTCATTGAATGCAACCACTAGCCGCGACCAATCGAACGAGATGCTTAGACTAATTTTATGGACTGAAAGACCAACTTTGCACTATAAACAGGTCATCCTCAAGTTCAGAGGAGTTCTTAGGAGACAAGAACCTCCCAGCATTTCTCCGAAACATTTCGAGCGTGACAACTTGTCGCGCAGGACTTCTATGACAAAATGAAGTACAATAAGAACCGCAGGCGTGGGCAGTGGGGGGTGTTCAGACTTCAATACTATTTGGATCTATTTGGGCTTCTAGCAACAACAACGACGCCCACACCCACACCCACCCTCACCCACCCACACCGGCCCAACCACACCAAACGCAATAACAGCAACAAACACAACAACAACAACAACAACAACAACAACAACAACAAC